CCCCTACCAGTGTCCATTCGACACTCTTTTAGGGGGGGTCCCTATAAGGACTATAGTATATTTGGGTCTATATTGGGGTCCCCGTATTTTGGGAAACTACCATATAGGGATTACAGGGGATATCTTGGGGTCATATTGGGATCATGGAAAATAGAATGGAAACTACTACTTAGTTAGGGCTTCAGGTTTAGGGTTTAGGGACAGGTCAAATTCATCTTTTGGCTGCCCATTGGGGTTTTGGGGTTTATGGTTTACGGTTTTGGTGTTTATGGTTTTGGGGTTTAGGGTTTAGGGTTAAAGCCCAGAACCTGAACTCTAGACCCTCAACCCTGTTTTTCCTGCCTGCCTCAACCCACATTCATTTCAACCCGGATCCATAGGGCTGGGTTCAAAGTCCCACCCATTGAGTTTCGCTCAAAGGGGCTTCATTGTTACAAATGGCTGTATACTCTCTAGCATTATACTGGAACCCAACAAGGAACAGCAGAATCTAGATTCTAACAGCATTCCAGTAAGGAACTACCTGGGGAGACTGATTCTGAATCCTAAGAATCCTAAGGCCTAAACCTAAAACCATGTGACTGGCTACACTCATTATACTGAGGAATATAAGGAGCAGGTAAAGAGTCGCGCGATAGATGAGATACGGCCTAGTGCTTTAGGATTTGGGATTTCATGCAGGGTTTGGGAGTATAAGCTTGGCATTGAAGGCACTGCCCCAAAGATCTACTGCAAAGAAGTGTTTAAGGTTTAGGCTACTGGTGCCTGTGCATGTAGGTGTACATAAAGACTATTCGATGGGGATGACGATGATGACATGTATTTGAGTTAGACATTCTTTTTCTTTGCCTCTCTGTCTCTCTCTTTCTCTCTCTCTCTCTCTATATATATATATAAAGATATATCTGCGTATGTTTGCTGTGTGTGTGTGTGTACGTACGGACCATTGCGCATATGTGTACGTGCGCATGCAAATGTGAAGCTTGGCATAAATCATGTTTGCACGGGATTAGGCTTGTTTACCTTTCCCTAAGGGTCCGAGGACCCAAACAGTAGAGCTTTAGGGCCCAAATACAAGTAGAAGTATAGTATTTGGGCCCTAAGAGCTTGTTATTTGGGCCCTTGGAGCCCTAGGGTTTTGAATGTATAGAGACATGTATATGAGACTTCTGCAAGGATGGGCAGACATCCCCGCTCTTCACTTGGACAGTCAGGGCGACCTACAGTAAGTAGATTAATTATAGTCCCCCTTAAGTAGACAGAATACCGTAAACCCAGGTAAGTAGATTAGTCATAGTCCCCCCTTAAGTAGATAGAATACCGTAAGCCCAGTATAACTTTGGAGCACATCATCCAAGTCACTTCCTCCGAGGGTTCGTACGCTGCGCGGCATGATTGAAGAGCACCATCAGGCGGATCAGCTTTAGCTTGGTTGAGGGTTTAGTGCGTAGTGTGGTTGGACGGATTCTTGCACCATTGGAGAATTTAGGAGCCAGATGATATGAGCCATACTCTAGATTCCTTAAAGGGAGATATAGAAGGGATTATATAGGGTACTACTATAGGGGTTATTAAGGGGGATACTAGGAGTTTAGACAATTGCTCATACTGTGATTCCTAGGGTATAGGCTACGCGAGGTGGCACTGGGATTGCTCCATCCAAAGAAGGGATCCTTCGCGCTTTTTTCGGTATTTCTGTGACAATTTTATGGCTGCCGAACAGATTCCTTGTATAAAGTCTACCTACCAGGGTCCTTATATTCCATTATATTCCTGCTATATTCTTGGGGTTCCCTATTTGGGGTTCCCAGTAGGGTCCCTTTATTGTAATTTCTAGGGCGTAAGGGACTCGGCTAGCTAATCCCCACTCCGCTTGAAGTCTTCAACAAATCTTGAGTAGCTGCACAAAGTCTCACACTTGGGGAATCAGGTGTCGGGCTTAGGGCTCAGCCTAAACCCTACACCCTAAACCCCAAACCCTAAACCCTAAACCGCATAGGGTTTAGGGTTTAGGTTCTAGGGCTTAGGGAAGGAGAGCGGTCGCGTAGACGTAATGCGGTTGATGGCGAACCTCTTGCGGCCGTTAGGATCCCCAATAATTGGTTAGGGGTTTATGGTTAGGTTTAAGGTTTAGGGTTTTAGGGTTTAGGGTTAGACCCATAACCCCCTCCCCCTAATAGGGATTATCATAGGCATCCTAATATCAAGGCCCTTCAAATGAGTTACATCGTAACACCTGGGTCAGAAGGTATCTATGGGGAGGTGCAAGATACCCTAAACCCTAAACCCCTATACCTTAACCCCGCAGACCCTGCTTCAACCGCATAAGACCCAGGGATTGCGATTCCGATTCGGAAGTAGCTATACCTGGACAGCCCAGAATTAGTGGCTTAGGGTGTTAGGGAGCCGTCCACGGTCAGGGTCTACTTTCTCCTACTTCAGGCTACTTCCCCAACTTCCTTGCGCTTTGTTCTGCTTCCCTCATTTTCCTGCCTCCTTGGTCTACTTTCCCAAGTTCCTACCCATGGTCTACTTCCCCAACCGCCTACCAGTTTGGTCTCATCCCCAATTTCCTACAACTGCAGTTCGACTTGGACCAATC